GCGCCGCGAGGGCGGGGATACCCCCAGCCCCAGCCGCAGGCTCGGAGTCTGCGGGCTTCGGGAACGCGTTGCTTCTCCCGAATTCGGGCCCTGGATTGGGGTGCGAGAAGCAGGGCGCGGGCCTGAGGGAGGTGTCTGGGGCTCCTCAGTCTGGGGAGGGGCTGTAGGAAGGATAAGGACCGGTCGGCCGGAAGACCGAGGTCGCGCCTGGGCTCTGCGGAGGGGGTCGTGCCCCCCTGCAAAGGCCAGAATGACCCGGGTGCCCTTGTCCAAGTTAGGAGCACCGAGACCTTCACGGAAAACCGCCGGCGGACCGAGGCGGTGACTCAGGCTCCTAGTCCCAGAACCGGGGTTAGGTCGGGGACCACGGCCGCCTCCCACCTGCCTCCTCACGTGAGGACGTGGCCTAGACTCTAGAGCAGTGGTTCTCAAGCTTCCTAATGCCCCGACCCTTTAATACAGTTCCTCATGTTGTGGTGACCCCCAACCACAAAATTATTTTCGTTGCTACTTCATAACTGTAATTTTGCTACTGTTATGAATCATAATATAAATATCTGATATGCAGGATGTATTTTCATTGTTACAAATTGAACATAATTAAAGCATAGTGATTAATCACAAAAACAATATGTAATTATATATGTGTTTTCTGATGGTCTTAGGCGATCCCTGTGAAAGGGTCGTTCGACCCCCAAAGGGGTCGGACCCACAGGTTGAGAACCGCTGCTCTAGAGAGAGCACAGATGCCTCTGAGGCCGAGGGAGTCTGAGAATATGAAAGTCCATAGGCAACGTGTTCACAGGGAGCTTTCTATACCAAACCAGAGTTTGAGAGGCAGACCTGAAATGAGAAAAAAAGAATGGGGAGCCCTCTGAGCCTGGGGCGCCTGTACTTCATTGCAGCTCCCACACGCGCCAAAGGTTTGCATATTCAGCCCATCTCTGCTTTGCTTTAGTCTGTTAAGGGCTTTAGGTGTTCCATTGAGTAGAACACAGTGTTCTGCCTTTGGACGCCCTGGCAGTGGGTAGATCCACACCTACACAAAGAATTCTGGGTGTCTGTAAAAATATAAACCACCACGATTCGCTTGTCCCCTACCTGCCTCAGCTGGAAGTCAGTAACCTGGAAAATGTAAAACAAAGAACCCTCATAGAACTTGAGACAATATTAAAAAAAAAAAGTCACCCTATGAGATGATCTGTAAATGTGTTACAGAGGCCAGGGTGGCTCCCAACTTTCATCAGAGTAAAATAAATAATCTGTAACTTAAGTGTCACATGCCCAGTTGATGCTGTCATAAAAGAAGGGTGGGGTCCATAAAGAGTCTAGAACCAGCAGAATCTCAATAAGAATGTATTGTGAGCTCCCACTCTGTCCAAGAGAAAGGTTACTGATTCTAATAACCAGGACCAATACCCATGATCAGGACAGTTAAAAAAACTTAATTTGGATCAGTCACACAGTCAACAAATATTTACTGAGTGTTTACTAAGTTTTAGTCTCTTAGGATACTTTAGCAAATAAGATTCCTGCCTATTTGGGGTTTATACCTAGCAAACTTAAATTCTGAATATTCTTTTAAGAACATATAAAGGCCCCTGCTGTGATTCCACACTCATCAAGTAGTCTTCCCATCCCTCAAGGGGTCTCAGAGTAGATCAGCACACCCAGTGAGAAACAATTGTCCAAGGCACAGACTGGTTCTAGTTATACTAGCTATACAGTCTTTCTCAATTAATGAATTCACATCATGGTTTATAATCAGGCTCTGTTCACTGGGTTGAATTATAGAGTTGTTTTATCCAAATTAATCTCCCACAGCCTGATTAAGTTGGAGTGAAGAGAAATGTAAGTTACTGAATCTGCCAAACTGAGGACCAGACAGATCCTGGTTTCATAGAAGCCCAATCAGGATGCAGCCTATGCAGTCAGCTTTGCATCTCTCTTTAAACATCTTAAATGGAAGCTTTACCTGTGATTTCATGCTTGAAGAACAGGAGCAAAATAATTGCTTCTAAAGCTTAATCATAATCTAGTAAAAATCATAAGAGAGTAAATTATTAGAGTAAAAATCCTCCTGAACCTGCCCCGCCTATGCAACATAGGCTCTTGCTGACATAACCAACTGTAATAGGTACTTTATTCTGAGTATGAAACCCAAGACTGTAAGTTCCCAGAGGACAAGACTCCCTTGCATTTATATGCCCTACTCCCAACATATGGGAATCTCAAAAAACAAACTAATTGATTTAATGATCATTTTCCTCTATAAAATTCAAGAACATGTTTTTGGAAGACATTTTTTCCAGATCTTACTTTATAATAGGTAACCAGTATGTTCAACATACTATTTTTAACTTTTAAAAATAAGACAGAATACCTTTGTTTTTATCTTTTGCCATCCCTTTAAACCTGTGCAGGGGAAGTAGATCTGTCATACACCCAATTCAGTAATAGAAAGTCCTTTGTCATTGAGTCACAAAGAGTGAAACTCTTCCCTCTTATCCAGCTAGGACAGCTAGCTCACTCCTTGCGGTAGAGAGGCATCATGCCTGGTCTGTCTTGCCCTCTTCTAGCTTACCAACCAGACCCAAAGGGAGGGAGAGAGAAGAAAAGAAAGGGAAACAGGAAAGTTCTTAACTTTTATAGGAAGTGGCAGTAAAGTGTTTTGTCCAAACTAAATTAGTGTGACTATTTTCCAATAGATGGCAATGAAGTTTCTGGACAAAGGAGAACATATTTCTGATGGTGCTGTTTAGGGCAGCACTGTATGGTTGATCCACAGCTGGCCCACATGAAGCTCTCACGCGCTTCTTGTCCAAACTGACTTGGGAGTATAGGCCAATCCCAGTTCAGCTTCAGTATTCCTCTGCTACTAAAATACCTGCCAGTCCTTCTCTTGTCCCTCTGTATTTTCCTGGCAGGAGTAGACTCAGGTCCACTCTGCCCCTCAAACTGCAAGAGACACATCTCAAGTACCTGAACAATTCCATTTTAGGCTTTTCTCAGCTTGAGGTAAGAGGCAGGCTGGCATCTGAGGTAAGAGTCAAACATAGCATACTGGCAACAGTCTCAAAAGGAAAACTCAATATTCTCACTTGACCTTTTATAACTTACTATAAGAATTTAGTCTTATCTACCTGATTTTGTCTAAATCCTCTCATTTATAGGGGAATTCCATTTTATAACTAACTTTAGTGAAATTTTTTTGGGGGGGTGGGGAAAAATCGTTGGGTATTTTGGTCCGGTTCTCAACTGGGATGATTTTTTGTTTTTGTCATGTCTGGAGACTTTTTGGTTGTCAAAACTCAGAAGGGGCTATTAGCATCTTGTGGGTAGAGATCAAATAAGCTGCTAAACATTCTACAATGCACAGCACAGCCTTCCCTACAACAAAGAATTATGTGGCTGAAAATGTAACTTCAATTTGACATCTTGGAATTTCTACACTTGACAGTCACTATGAGAATACCTCAAAAGTACATCCCTTTTTCTTCTTTTTTTTCTATAAATTCTTTACCTGTAGATGTAAAAGTGACATTTTAATATATAACTAGTATCAAAAACAGCATTTTAGAAAAATGTTTGGCCAGGATGAGAAGTGACTGGTATGATTCTAAGACTTCCTCTGGAGGGGAGGCCTGCCAGGAAAATTATTATTTTGTTTTTTATAATGAGACCACTCATTTATTATAAATACCAGTGATACCTGAATGAAGAAAAGTAAATTTCTCTCTGCCAGGAAAATTATTTTGTTTTTTATAATGAGACCACTCATCTATATATATAAAAGCCTAAGTGACTGTTATGACCAGTTGACTGAATGACCAGTCGACCAGGTTGCTATGATGCACACTGACCACCAGGGGACAGACACTCAACGCAGGAGTTGCCCCCTGGTTATCAGTGTGCTCCCACAGCCAACCTCCCATGGCTGGCCAACCTCCTGTGGTCCCTCCCCATGGCTGGCCCTGATCGACCCAGATCGGGACTGGGCAAGGTGGCCCCAATTGGCCCCGATTGCTAGCCAGGCCGAGGGACCCCACCCGTGCACAAATTTGTGCACTGGGCCTCTAGTTTATTATAAATACCGGTGATATCAGAATGAAGAAAAGTAAATTTCTCTCTGCCAGGAAAATTATTACTTGAAGTGATATTTTTATAGCCCAGGGGAACAAACATTTTACCCAACTTATCTGAACAGAGGTTAAGGCCTCTCAGAAGTAAAGTCATGAGTCAAATCACCATGGAAGGAATATATATTTCGTGCAATCCCAGACCATGTCCTAGATGCCAGAGAGGACTTCAGTATGCCTGCCTCCCCAGAGTCACCAGTGTCACTGGAATGAGACTTGAAGTCAGGAAGTAGCTCTGTCTTTGCAGTCACTTTACAACTAATACCCTTATTATTCAAAGAGAATGCAATAGCCTGGCCAGCGTGGCTCAGTGGTTGAGCATCAACCTATGAACCAGATGGTCACGGTTCAATTCCCGGTCAGGGCACATGCCCAGGTTGCGGGCTCAATCCCCAGTGTGGGGCATGCAGGAGGCAGCCGATCAATGATTCTCTCTCATCATTGATGTTTCTATCTCTCTCTCCCTCTCCCTTCCTCTCTGAAATTAATAACTATATATATTAAAACACACACACACAGAGAATGCAAATGGACTTCTTCCCCCCAGCTCCTTACCATAGATTAGTTTGATTGAATTCAGCTCTTCCAGATGTAGTAGGATGTTGAGCCAATCTCTTGTGCCATCAATAAGGAAACTTTCATTATTCCTGTGTCTTCCTCTCACTTACTGGTCTCATCTCTGACCAAGGCTATTTGAGTGCTAGCATATAGATTAACTTTTGTTCAGGAGGCTGCTATTATCTTTTTTTTCTTCCTTTTTTGTTTTTTTAATTCTCATCCAAGAATATTTTTTTCCATTGATTTTTAGAGAGAGTGGAAGGGAGAGAGGGAGGGAGGGGAGAGAGAGAGACAGAGAAACATTAATGTGAGAGACACACATCAATTGGTTGCTTCCCAAATGCGCACCCCAACCCGGGCTGCGGATGAACCGGAAACCCAGGTACGTGCCTTTGACTGGAAATCTAACCAGGGACCCTTTGGTCCGCAGGCCAACACTCTATCCACTGAGACAAACCAGCTAAGGCTCCATTTATTTTTAAATGAAAACCAAGAACTCCCACCCCCAAACTCTTGGTGCTGTTTTTAAAATCTTCTGAACCTCATGAGTTACAACAAATACAAGCACACCTCCTCCTTAATTAGAAGCATTTTTACACTGCCCACTCATAAGTGTAGATAGGGATGGGAAAATATATGCAATTTTTGTGGGGATGGGTGGGGGAACTCCTCCATAGGGAGAAGAGGTTGTAAGGACTCTGACTTCCACTGAGCAGTAAAATGCTATCAAATTCAATCAAACTCAGTAATTACTTTTCACTTTCTGGAAATACTAATTTCTTCTGAGAAAAAAGAAAGGACTAAAATCCTAACAAAATTTAAGTCTTCTGAGCGAGAAGCAACTCACCATTAGAGAATAGTATTTCTGGCTCTTCTGAGGAATGCAATGGAAATTTGTGTCACTTTCCCCCAGATCACTGTGTCAGTGTGCAAGAATGCATGTTTTTCATAAACAAAAAATATATATATACTAGAGGCCCAGCGCACAAAATCGTGCACGAGTAGGGTCCCTTGGCCTAGCCTGCGATCAGGGCCATCTTTCACCTGGCTCTCCAGTCCCCAGTCCTATCCCGCCGCCACCCACCCAGTTCTCCATGGTTCCCCGTTCGCCATGCTGCGATCGATCGGAGTCTGTGGGCTGGGAGGTTGTGGGGGAGGCGGGGAGGGACTGAGAGGTGGTCAATGCACCTCATAGCGACTGCTCGAGCAGTCATTCCAGTCATTATGGTCACTGGCCCTTTATAATATAGTAGTACTAGCTGCAAAGAGAAGAAACTGTTCCAGGGTGTACAAATCCCATGCCAACATCAAAATAATGGCAAATACTGTTCTGATCTTAGCA